TTTTTTCTTTTTTCTTAAAATTTGTATCTAATTTATAATGTTTTTAATAAATTTATAATATATTAAAATCATCCAAAATTTGATTATTATATTTGTCTGAATATTATTAGTAATCGATTGTTGATTATAAGTCGATTTATTGTAATTAATAGTGATCGATTGAAATAGCCAATTCAGCTATCAAATTTATACCAAATATTATTAGTCAATTATTAGTAATCGGGTATCGATTATAAGTCAATTTATTGTAATTAATTGACTACCGAATAAAATAGCCGATTCGACCTGAATTCGACTATTGAATTTTAGTATTCGGTTGTCGATTATAAGTCAATTTATTATGTCAATCGGCTGCCGATTGAAAGTTTTGATCTGAATTTGACCGCCGATTTTTATTAGTATTTGACTAACTATTAGCTACCGATTTACTCTACCATTCAGTATAATATCAGTCAAATATTCGACAGTTGAACTCAGGTCGAATAGGCCATTTCATTTGGTGGTCAAATTTCTTATATTCAACTAGTGTATTGTATATAGCAACTTCTGTCGGTGCAAGCACAAGTATCAGTGGTTCAGATTTCATCTCTGCTATCTCACCAAGTCTATCTCTAATTGCTTTAATAAGATATAATTTATCAGTTCCTGCTGTTTCTATGATAATAATCCTTAATAGTTCAACTTGACAACCAGAAATTATATTTTAATAATGTGTCTTTATTTGTTTAAAAACTTTTTTTTAATTTTCATTTAAAGTTAAATAATCTACAGTATCAATAACTGTATTTTTATTTCTTTCTACTCTAGAATTTCTTGAGATTCTATACAAAAAGATATCAATGTCTATAGGATTGTTGTTAGAGTAATGTTGTTTTGCATTATTGATCCAATTAAAGTTAAGATCCATATTGCAGGATCCAAATTCTAAAAAATGATTAATAATTGTATTTGGACCTATCTCTACTAATTGCATCCAATCATCTTGTAATTCATTCTTCTCATCTTTAATTTCTTTATCTAAATCTTTAACAATTTTGTCTTTTATTTTATCTACAGCAGAGTCAAGCAAATCTATTATATCAGTATTAATCTCTTTAATCTGATGGTTATATAG